CAGCAAATTAGTAGACCATAATCTAAATACAGTAGTTAAACACTATCAGCAGTATACAGCATACTTAAATAAAATATGGATGCAATGCTGGAAAACTGGCAAATGTAAAAAAAAAAAAAAAAAAAGTTTTGTAATAGCAGTATTCAATATTGAATACTGAAACAATGATTTGTCAAGCATTCTCTGCAAAAAAAAAAAAAAAAAGTTTTGTAATAGCAGTATTCAATATTGAATACTGAAACAATGATTTGTCAAGCATTCTCTGCAAAAAAAAAAAAAAAAAGTTTTGTAATAGCAGTATTCAATATTGAATACTGAAACAATGATTTGTCAAGCATTCTCTGCAAAAAAAAAAAAAAAAAGTTTTGTAATAGCAGTATTCAATATTGAATACTGAAACAATGATTTGTCAAGCATACTCTGCAAAAAAAAAAAAAAACCCTTACCATACAAGGGACCTTGCTCCCTTAATATGATTCTGTGATCTAGTCTTGTGCTATTACTTATACACAAACACTCCTAACAAACCTCCAAACAAGCTAGCTTTGAAACATGAGGTTGAGGAACAGGAAGCAAGGGGAAGAACAGAGAGCGCAGAATTCTTGTGCAGCATTCAAAGAGTTATCAGAATGAAACTCCTAATCATCCTGACCACTGTGCGGATTTAAATTTATGAAGAAGGCAGTATTCAGTGTGTTTAAGGGCACTATCCTATGCATATCTGCTCAGAAATAAGAGCACAAGAGCACTCCCAGTAGGGTGAACAGGAAAAGAACTTGTAGATGCATCCAACATCTTTTCCAATGGATCAGCATTGCAGAGGAACTACTCAGAGGAACTACTACTTATTCATAAATAATGTTCCCTGAACTCTCTAACAAACTCTCACTCTTCTTCTACAATAGTGCTAATTATGAAAGACCTAAGCAGCTTTCTGAACTGATTCTCAAAATGTAAATTGCCAAATGTATTTGCAATGTTAGGAAAAAAATCATCAGAAAAGCCATAGGAGAGTTAATACCTCTCTTCACCCCTTGTATTCATACCAGTTAAGAGAATGAAGAAATATTCATGTATCTCTGACATGTTACGTTTTAAACACATTGTCTATATTTAGCAATTCACTTCCTGATTTCTTCTTTAGAAAGGGAGGCATTTCATTAAAGAAATGTGAACATTTCCCTATGAGTCTGATCCAAAGTCTTACTTTCTATTTACTACTCTCTTATGCCTGATCACTGTAGACATCTCATTAATGTTTCCTAGCAATTTTTTGCATAGAGAGAAACATTTGCTTCCACTAATGTACAGCTATCAGCTATCACAACAAAACTATTAATATACACTCGGTGAACTAGTATAACTGCAGAAATACAGCATTATGATAGGGGGGATACAAAATTAAAACTATGATTCTGAGATGGAAAGTGTGCACATATAGAAAATATGCAGTAATTCTAAGGCAATATAGAACAAAAGCTAAGGTGAGAGGTCATGTGACAAAGAACACTGTTGTCAACACCCTTTTTTATCAAAAACTCTGAACAGCATTGCTGAGTATTGCAAAATACTGTCAGGATATTAAGTTTTATGGCATTACCAACTGTAATGTAAATAAATCACAAATAAATGGTCTTGTTTGAATACCTGATATTCACATTCAAAAGCAGGTACACACACCCTTAAGAAGTATGATTCAACAATCCAGAGTAACATGTAATTCAGACTCAATCCTATCTTGAGTTAGCTTGACTTAGAGCATGCTTCACTACTAAAAGCTACACCTGACCTGCATATCCTCTGTAACAGTGCAGTCCAATATGTACTTACATTAGTCTTCTTTGAAGCAAATGTGACATCTGATGATTTCACAGATACACCATTTAGTTTTCTTAACAACTTAGAAGTGGTTTGTCAGTTCTTCTTCCAATATTTTTTTTTTACTTCCCAATCTAGTCTACAGCCTTGGGATTTTCTTGTGGTCTCCCAGTCAAGTAGTAGCATTAGTGGGCTGGGTGACCACTTACTTTTCTAATATCAACCAAAGCTGGCTAGAAATTGCTATGGGCTTTTACATGTAAACAAGTTCTATTAAAATGTAGTAAGTCTTCTAAGTAAACATGCAAAGGACTGTACTCAAACTACAGTATCCTTGTGTCTTACAGTGAGATCTGAAACACTTTTTGGCACAGGTACATTTGTAGCCACTATGTTATAAACAGTACTGGGAATGATGACCAGAGCTTATAAAGGCTAACTAAAATAAAGCTGCTCTTTCCTTCACCAGTTTTAGCACTCTTCCACAAAAAATTGCACATGCTAGATAAATGATACTGAATAGCGTAGCCTAGTGGTATAGATATTTGATAATTTTTTATAAAAATTGCCAGATTCAAGTATAACTTTAGTAAATACTCCAGTGTTTTCATATTTGAAAACTTTATTTCCTTCCTGATCAACTAGAAATGGCACCATCACTCTGCATATTTTCTAGCATAACATGATTATAGAAAATGCACAGAAAGTATTAACTAGTACATGTGGAGGAAGAAAAGTACGTGCCATTTCTTAAGTGGCTAAAATCGGTGATGATTTACCACACAATAAGCAGTAATTTTGTTGAATCAGCAATGTTTCCAAATACAACCCTCCACATATGGCTATTTTACAGGACATCCATTTGGTCATACTATTGTAGATATCACTTTCCTCCAATTAATTACTCTGCCACTATAGAAGAAAAATCTAGCCAAGGTTTTTTGGCCCCTGCTGAAAGAAAAAAAAATATAGAACATAATGTATGCAATATACACTATCACTTTTGTTTGTATAATTTTTAAAAAAATAAGTACTGAAGATCTAAGCCCAAGACTCTTGCCAAAGAATAATTATAATCTGTAATGACTAAGTAATATATTATTCTAGAGTACCACAATTTAACACCAACAAAAAGCAATTTTATTCACTGTAATCCTAGCCATTTAATTTTTTTCCCAGCAAGATTTCATAAGTCACCCTATTTGTAACTGATCAGTTATTTTTTTTTTTATAAAAGAGCTTCAACCCAGCTGTAGCCACAACCAACAGTCACACATAACAAGTGACAGCCCTAAAAATATACATGAAGCTAGTCAGTTAATCATCATAGCACAAAAGTACACATCTGCAGTAGCAATACGCATGAAATGCTGTTCACAAAACCCAGAACATTAATTTCCCTTTCTGAGTAGGACGAGGGAGAATGATAGAATTGGAAAACCAAGCTAATACTTAAAGAATAAAGTTCCAGTACTATTGCAAATTTATTCTCCTTAAACAGTATAGCCTTACCTAATACATTTCAGAATAGTACATGAAAATCTCTGTAACATTCAGTACTTTCATTATATAGAACTGAGACTTATACAGACTCTAGATTATGCAAATTATCTACATAAACTATTTTGGAAATATGGGAAATATATATATACTTCAATACTTGCAATTCAAGTATTACATTGTTGTAATATACTCAGAACTGTAAATGAAAGTCTTCATTTGGGAAAAAAAAAGCAGGAAGTGTAGAATGAACCCATTATTTATTCAGAGCTTTAACTAAAGAGCATACTTGGGGTTAAAGAAAATAGAGCATAATTGCTTCTAAACTGAAGTATGTTTCAGCATCTTGTATGATATGTCAGCACTCTTTAAAGTTCATCATTAAAAAAAAGACACAGTAAACAGTTATAAGAGAAAGTTCTCCTCCCCCATCCATTTTGCAATACTTATGTCCTCACACAAGAAAAAGGCACAGCTTTGCTCCCATAAATCTTGTTCTTTTTCCAAAATTAGAAACAACCAATTCAAAAAGCAAGGTTTGTTCGTTTGTTAGAACCAGCATTTGTGAACAGTCCATGTACCTATTAAGAATTTCATTCACCCCTTATCGTGAGTACCATTATACCTCAACATTCCACACTAAGTAAACACTGGCTAGACTTTAGAGCTGCTTCACACACACTGCTCATCAGCCTGATGGATACATTACTTCCCTTTACTGTCTCATATTACCTTAATGCTAGTAAGATGAAAGCAGCTCATTTAGCAAATTTCTGAGTTATGAGACATCAAGTAGTTAAGTATGGATGTCTTAATTACCATAAAAACTCTACGGGATGCACTGGAAGAATGAATCGTCGAGTGTTTCAGAACAATATACTGTCTAACACAAAATAATTCCAGTATACAGAAAAACTGACAAATCATCTGGCGCATTTATATAGGAAATGAATTATTCAAGAACTAAGAAGCACATGGGCAGCAAGGAAATCGCTGAGTCTCTAACCCAAGCGGCATGCGAACCCACAAGGCAAACCACGTGCACAAACGAGCCCTACTCAACCGCAGCTGTGTTTGAAATGAACATTCGTTCATGCTGTAAATCCAAAATCTACTTAACACCCCCCCCTCCCCGTACTGGATTTAAAAGCAGAAGACGAACCGATCTTCCCCACGCCCAGAATTATCACTAATAGTTCCATCAGTCAGGGATGAGCTGACCCAATCCCAAATATCCAGCCATTAAAAAGCATCTCACGAACATCGTTACAGTAAAGGAATGACTTCCAACGGGCCTCGTGGCACGATGGCCGCCCATCCCGGGCCTCCGCGTTTGCTGACCTTATTAGTAAAACGCCGGGAAATCCCTAGCGAGGGGGCTGAAACCCGCCACCCACAGCCCTGGCAGGCATCCCCTCCCCTTTCGGCCCTCTCCCCTCAGGTTCGGCTCCTCCATCTCGTTTCCCCATCGTCCTCCATCTCCCTTTCATTGTTCCACCCTCCGGAGCGCCGGGGAGATCCAAAGGAGGCCCCCCACGTCTCTCATGGGAGAAATGCCCACCGCCCTCGGGCTTCCTTCCCGTTCCTTCTGGTCCTCTCCGCCACGTGGAGCTAAACAGGCTCCTCCAGGAGCAGGCAGTCCGCTGAGAGAACCTGGGACCCTCCGCCCCGCCGAGCCATACCTGTTGCACGCAGCGACCCAGACACGCGGCGCTTGCCCCCGCGGTCGCTCTCCAGCCCTCGACTCGCAGGCGCTCCCGCCCCCTCACGTACTATAACGGGCTGAAGGGCGGAGCTCAGGAGTGAAAGGGCGGGTTTCGTCGGAGCCGGAGACTGAGAGAGAGGCCGAGCGGCCGCCTCTCTAGCCCCCTCCTTTCACCCCCCCCCGGAGCGGGCTCGCCTCCCATTGGAGAGAGGCGCCTTGGAGGAGACGCGGGAAACAAGCTTTTCAGGAGTCGCGAGGACGACGGCGTTTTCCGCACGTAGCGATGGGGGCGAGAGGAGCCGGTGATCCTTTGGCCAGAAGCAGACAGCCGGCTGCCGAGGAGGAGGAGGAGGGTATCCCTACTTTCTTTTCCCACGTCTCTCTCGGGCTGCCCAAGGCGAATATCCTTCTAATTCCTTTGTGCAGGACCCAAAAGCTCCACCATGCTTCGTTAAATTCCGGCCTCCCAACCCGCTGCTCCTCGAGCATATGACGACTCCTGCTTACACAGGGCTTCATAGTTTTCTCAGAATCACCTTTAGCACCCAAATCAGGACTGCCACTCCTTGACCTTTACAACTTGGCAAAGAGTTTTCTTCAAATTAAGATGCCTTTCATGCATTACTCTGTTTGCTGCTGCGGAAAGATGAAGCCGTGAGAGAACCAATTTTCTTAGTCTGATTTTCAGACATTGTGGCCTATCTGCATACAAAATCCACATTCTTCTTAAAAAGAAAACTTAAACAGCAGTCCCAAACTTATGGAACAAATGTTATGGAGCAGAATGATCTTTGCCTCTATAGTAAGCATGCTTATGGTTGCTCTATTAGTACTAAGGATATCAACCATATTGGAGGGACATTTGATTTTTAGTTGTGCACTGTGTTCTCCTTTTTCATTTAAGCCTATTCTTGCTCCAAAACAAAATGAAGCCTTACAAAAATCACTTCATCTCTGAAAATAGGTAAAGTTGTGTTCAGTGCCTAGTGATTTCAGCAACAGTCCATGTAGTTTTCTTAGGAACAGTTAGGAAAGGGGTTGCCATTACTGTACTTTCTTCATCTCTGAAAAACAGAAGTCGAATGAACAACCTATTTGCTACTGCAGATTCCTTTCCAACCATGTGGTTCATGGCCTACCTTATAACACGTTGGTTTGCATTGTATTGTTCTGGTACAAATACGTTGCTTACAGCTTTATCAAGAGCAACAAATCTATTGTGGCCAAAAAAAAAAACCCCTAATAACAGTTTTACATATGTAATAGTATATTGATTTAACACTTTTTAATTTTTTTTAAATTTATTTGTTAGATTTATATCCAACATTTTCTCCAGTAGCTCAAGGCAGCAGGCATGCTATTCTCGCCTTCAGTTTTTCTCCTGAACAACTTAGGGAGATATATTGGACTGAATCTGACACTGAACATTTATCTGATAAGATACAGACAATATAAAGTGGGGCAAATAAATCTTAAGATTAAAGGGAAAAAAGGGGGAACTATGCCATTAATATTGTATGACCATAAGCACCACAGTTGGATCATTTCTTTGGAAGTCTGTGGAATATGATTTCCATCTGCAAGCTTCCTGGCTTCTGGGTTAGGGAAGCTTACAATTGGAAAAGAACCGGGGGATTTCCTGGAAGTGTGCTTGTGCTATTTACATGAGGAAAAATATGGAATGGTCTAAATGATAGCATATTTCTTCGGTCACCATATTTTACTGTTACTTTTTCTGTGATCAATCAATATTGTGATTGGCAGGTAACAATATGTTTGCTAGAATTCTGGGGATTTGCTGTTGCAGCAATATGGTTTTTATATGTATTTTTACAAACTATCAGTTCCAGCATGCTTTGCAAAGTGATAGGAAGAAAGAGTAGAGACAGGAAGAGAAGGCCAGAAAAACAGAGCCTTAGAGATTTGTAGAAATGATAATCAACTATTATTTAATTAAAACATTTTCTTTTCATTTAGTGTTGTGGAATAACTACAAAAGATCCCAAAGGTAACATCATAGTTTCTACATGTGATTGTTACCCTGCTGGAGGAAACAGCGTATCCCAGTCACTTTATCGAGATAGGTGGTTGTTAAATGGCAAATGAGATTTTTCATGTGCATATAATATATATAAAATGTACAAACGTTGTCTGAAAGAAATCACCATTGTTTGTAGTGAAGTCTATTACTGCCTGAAATTCAGATTTTGTCCATTAATCAAGGCCTATAAATCAATGCTTTACTATACTAAGGAGGGTTATTAAACCTATATGTTTATTGCCCAAGGAAAATAATTTAAGGCAATTTCTCCAGCGTATCCAGGATTTATAAAATTTGAGTGCAGTTCAGAAATCCCTGACAGATAAATATCATTGACTGGGCATTTATGAATGCTTTATAGAACACTGCGCTGATGCCTACTGACATTCATCAAGTAGTATGTAGCAAAATTGACATAAATCCAAAAAATTACAATGCAATTTAAGCAGTAGAGTATTCATTAAATATTTATTCTGCACCTTATATTATCTTTGTCATATCTCTGCTGTTGTTAAACTTTTATTAAGCATTTGTCCCTATAGTAAGCTTGATTTTAATTTTTTATCTACTATTGTTCAATATTCATACCCTCTTCTTATATACATAACATATATGTATGTGTCTGTACATAATGTCTGTATATAAAGAGAGAGTGAGGGAAAAAAAAGAGAAAAAGAGACGGCCAGTTTGGTACAGTGGTTAAGGTACTGGACTAGAAATTGGGATACCATGGAGTTTTAGTTCTCCCTTAGGAATGAAAGCTGGTTGGGTGTGCCAGTCACTTTCTGAGCCCAATCCACCTCACAAGGCTGTTGTTACGGGGAAAATAGGCGAGAGCATTATATATGCTGCTTTGAGTT